GGTTACGTGCAACTTTCTCAGGAAGAGATGCAAAGAAAGGGTTTCTGGGTATCTTTAACCTCTCAACTGCATATCCTGTGTATTTGCAATGCTGTGTGTTTCATCCAGCTGTGATTGGTTGTTCAAGGAAGCAGAAGGTATTGCATTTATTTGCCAATTTTATGTACTTTTCTTTTTAGGGTTACATTTTAATTAATTTATTTTCAAAGCTGCCCATGCGCATTTTAACTCCACGGTCAAGTATTTTGCGTGTACCTGCGCCTTTTCCGCGGGACGTGTTGGCTTGAGAGGAGCAGTTGCAGAACAGAGAGGAAGGTAATGAGAACACTAAATAGCTGGAGGAGGACAATGTATTGTCAGAGAGAATTAGTCCTATTTCTGCCCGTACACATTCACGTTTGCCATCAGGCCCGTGTGAAGCCGTGCTAGCCAGGTAATGGCTGGGCAGACGCTACACCCTGCCTATTTTAAGCCCGTGCGCCAGCTTGTTACTCGACTCTGCTTTAGCGATAGGGTGTGAAGTGTGCTGTGACATGTGTTCAGGAGGCGGGGTGATGTGAGAGGTGTGTGTGTGTTACACATATGCCTGGCTAAAATTACTTTTTTTAATGTAAACTGGTACACGTTCTGCAGCAGTCGACACAGCGTTCTGTCCAATTCCCCCTATTTGTTCCTCATGATTTGTTAAGAGGGCCTGTCACTTATCTATCATCTTATCTATCCACACAGCTTTTATTCCACCCACTTCCCCCTGTGTTTCTTCTGCTTTGACACAAGAAGGGAAGTTTTATAGGAGATTGCGACAGACCGAGGGTGATGGAGATCATGGGCGGAGATGGTGCGATAGGGATAGCAGGGAAATGTGGATGCTGCCAGATATACGGGGGAAGAGGGAGACAGGCCGGCAGATAGGGAAATAGATCGGTGGCAGGGAGGGGTGGTGATGAAGTGATGGAGAGTGTGAGGAGGAGCAGGAGGAGGATGTGTGAGGGAGGGTGTCTGGGCTGAGTGCAGGGGGGGTAGAAAGAGAGATAGAGGGATGAGAAAGGGAGGGAGAGGTGGAGGAAATGGATAGAAATAGCTGATGCACTCTGAGGCTTACAGAAAATCAATAGCAGTCAAGAGGGGAAGCCACAACCCCCACCCTCACTCCCTCGCCTTCTCTCCCCCCTCCACTCGCCTTCCTTATGTTTTTTCTCCTCTCCACTCTTTATCTTTTCCCATCTCCCTTTCCTCCTCACTGCTCTCACCCCTTTTATGTGCATTTCCATCCTCTTCTTCTGTACCGCCACTTTCCCTCTCCTTGTCCCCCCACATTCTCTTCCCCTGTCGTTTCTCTCCCCCCCCCCCCCCCCCCCTGCATCCTCACCTCCCATCACGGTTGTGCTCCTGGTCTTGTCTTTGACCCTCTTTCAGAGACATCCTCTTTTATTCTACAGGCTACTGCTTGCGTCAGAAGGATTGTGATTGTGTATTGTGGTGGACTTGCACGGCTATGGGTGTGTTTCACTTCGGTTAAATGGATTCCTTGCGTCCCTCACTTGCGTCGTTTCCCTGCGACTAGTCCCTCCCACCAGGGAAGCATGGAGAGACGCAAGGAAACCACGAGAAGCAGGGAAATGAGTTTTAAGAGCAATGGGACGTCCTTTCCTCCGGAGCGTCACGTGAAGCGACGTCCGTTTGTGATGACGCCGCACAGCTGATCGTCTGACGACAGCCAGATCAGTGCATGCGCTGCATCGTCCAATCAGTGAGCGATACACAGTAAGGGGGCGGGGCGAATGTGTGAGGATTTCACCGGAGGATGGTCTGGTAGTTCCTCGATTATCGCTCCTCCGTTATCGCTCCTCGATCCTCGGTCCTCCGGCACAAATAAGGCCACTGGGACGCTACTCAAGATGGCACAGACAAATCAACTTCCGGTGATACCGAGACCGAGTAGCGAGGAAATTAAAAATAAGAGAAGTGAAACGCACCCGATGTGAAGATAGAAATGTTTATCACACATTTCTTTCTTCTGTTATTGTCGTTCATTTAGCAGATTATGGGAAGTGTTTTTCGCGTAGAATTACTCTCGAACCGTCCAGTTAAAAGGATTCCTTCTCACATCACACCTCTCTTTATAAAGGACACCATCTCATTTTAACTACGTTTTGCTTTTCACTCTTGTGGTCGCAGTAGTTTTCTTAAAGCACGTACACAACGTCTATCAATGTGTTCTTCTCCAACATGCGTAGGGAAGTCATACAATTTCACTATAAATGGTCCAATAAAGGGTAGGAGTCTTGAAATTGTTACTGTCCATGAAACTTGTCCATAACAAACATATGAAGCATAAGGCTTATGATAGTTCAATTAATACATGTACATTTTGGATATACATGTATTCGATTAAAGGCCTGAAACGCCTCGATTTGACTTTGTTAACTTCTGCGACATAGTGACATCACTCTCGCACGTCTATTGGCCAGCGCTCCAACACATTGAACATGATTGACTAAGAGGCGGGACATCTTTAAGCCGTTTATCAATCACAACCGAGTCAGCCAGCTAACCAATCAGAGCACACTGGGCTCTGGTTTCAGACAGAGGGTGAAAAGAAGTGCTGCAGCACAGGCAGTATGAGAAAAATAAAGAGCTTTTTTGAACATGAAAGCATGGAAACATGTCACAGTAGAGGCACTACATACAAATATGAACCTGAAAATGAGCATAACAGGGCCCCGTTAAGTCCCCGCTATCTACCTTGATGAGATAGTTTGTGATTTATGTTTAGGGTCGGTAAATGGGTTATAATATTCAGGAAAATTGCCTATATTATCATTTTTTTTTAAACGGCCTGGATGTTATGAGAGGGAATAACTGTGTTCACACATTAAAATCCATACTGTCATCCTACTATTCCACTTTCCTGGAGGCCCTAAAGTGTTGAAACTAAACTGCGAGTGTGCAGTCTGTTCGTCCAACAGTGGACACGATGTCATCCGCACATTTTGAAACCTGTCCTGCAGCCTCTGTCTTGTGCTCTATAGAGTGACTCCGACTGAATGACTCGTCTCTGACTCCATTTACCGAACTCTGACAATGTGCAAGTGAGACCATATTCAGGGAGGAAGCTGGATTTTTGCCTATTGTGACCGGTGAATGAGTGTTTTACACAAGAGCGGAGAGTCCCATGAATGCCTCACCAGCACTCCGTCTCAAACCATCTCGGTATATATATATATATATATATATATATATATATATATATAATATATATATATATATATATATATATATATATATATATATATATATATATACTATATACTATATATATACCGACTAAAAGGCTATATATATATATATATATATATATATATATATATATATATATATATATATATATATATATATATATATATAGCCTTTTAGTCGGTTTTCACTATACTAATGTAAGCTTTACTTAACTCAGCCTTTTCAATTCCATTTATTTTGCCTTGCTCTCGGGATTGGAGAGGAATTTGTTCATGGATCAGTTGTGAAAACCTCACTGTGCCTGCCTCTTCTTTCCCTGTCTTTCTCCCCCATCTCTTCTTTGTTGTCAATCACATTTTCTTCAAAGAGGGAGGCCGTGAGCGGGAGAAATACCACAAACAAACTCCTTTTTATAAAAAAAAAAAAAGGCTTTTTCGGCATCTTTTCCCTTCTACTTCAGCTTGCTTCATCTCTAATGTTAAGGTAGCCTTATCTGGAGTGCCCTTGGGATCGCTTACCCTTGGTATATGTACACCACTGCCTCCATCTGTGGTGGGGACGTCCCCGGCTAAAGATGTGCCCACGACAAAGGGGGAAACAAAAAGCTAGCATAAAATAGAAAATACAATAAAAAGATGAAAGGATTGTGGAAAAACAAAAGAGTAAAAGTCTTAGCGGTATCATCCTAAAGCTTCTGTAATCCAGGATTACTGTGTTTGTTCTGTGTGTGTGTGAGAACCTACATCCTCTGATCTGATGGCACACCATATGCGTTTCAGTCACTTCTGAGCACTACACATGGTCAGCATCCCTCCGCACAAACATGTTGTCATTGTGTTTTTGCCGCTGTGTATTAAATCCACGAGAACAATAAACAACAAAAGGATTAAACGTACTGTATGTAGATACACAGGAGTCTCGCCATAGTGCTTGGGTATAAATGGTGCGATCTATTTCAACAATAGGTATTAACAACATGTTTTTGTATTCTGTATTTCAAATGATACATTGATGGAACAGCTCAGGCCAGTCAACAGAATTCACACTCACGCAGAACAGGACCAGACATTGTATGCTTGTTTATACAAATTGGGGAATGTTTAGAAAAAGGGACTTTATATATTGGCCTTGTTTTTATGCCAGATACACATTGGATGAGGCCCGAATCGAAAAATAGAAATAACATTTAGAAAAAAACCATTGAGATGTTTGCCAGTGTTGTTGGCAATATTGTATCAGTGTGGCAGATTAGTGATAAATCCTATATTTTCTGTAAGTATTGATCTTAAGGCATTCTAACTAGTGAATGTCTTGATGTATTTTTAAATAAAATATCTTAAAGGGTTCCTTTTTTTTTTTTATTCTATTTTGGGTTTTCCCTTTCTTGTGTTGTATAGGTTATGGTGCATGTAAATGGTTTGGATGGTACTTGATAGGCTACTGAGCGGGACATTTCTAAGTGTTTGACCAATCAGAACATAGCCGGCCAGCTCACCAATCAGAGCAGACAGGGCTCTGGTTTCAGACAGAGGGTGAAAAGAGGTGCTGCAGCACAGGCAGTATGAGAAAAAGACCTTTTTTGAACATTAAAATATGTAAATTTGACACCCCAAGCTAAAATTCTCCATAGGAATAATTAATTAATTCAAGTAACATAATAAATAGGAGTGTACATAATAAACGCCAGACTTAACAGATTGTAGCCATATTGTTGTCTCCCTGTGTGACCTTGTGTTGTATTCTGCTTTCCCCCTCTGTAGGAGCCTCTGGAGGGTCCTACCACTGCCATCCAGATCATGCATATGGAGACGAGAGTGATAAGGTAAGCTGTAAGCACCTTCGACATTATTTATGTTACACCATACTAGGGCTGTCCCGAATACCATTTTTCGGGCTCCGGATATTCGGTAGTAATCAGCAGCGAATATTCGGATATTCGGCCCGTGCCGGGGGGGGGGGGGTGCGTAGTAATCAGCGGCGAACCGCTTCAACACATGTATTTCGGTTTATTCACTGCATTAATTTTGTTATTCTACAGTATTGTTGTTTTATAGTTATTTGTTAATGTAACCCAATTTGTGTTCTTTGTGAAATTTAAAAGGATATTGCATTATGTTTGTTACTTTCATTGCAGTTGTATATGTTTTAAGTGTAATTTGGCTTGGCTTCCTATTTTTTATGGACATGCTTTTATTTTGAAGGAGTTAGCGCTGTTGACAGGAAGTTGTTGTTGCTATGGAAACAACGTGACGGAGATTAACGGAGAAAAGTCATATCTACATATAAAGACGGAGAAAGTAAACTATAAAGTTTATGGTTAAGTGTTGGCACCCCCCGAAGAGGCACAAGCTCTTACGTTGAAGCTTAGAAGGTATGTCTGTTTTTCCAGTGGAATTTGAGCTATTCTGGCTCAGAGGATTACTGGCTGATGTTGTTCAGTATGTCAATGCTCTTTGGTTTCTTCTGTATATGCTTTTACCTTCTTGAAAAACAAACAAAAAAAAGTTTGTTTGTTGTTGACACAAATTCTCCATGTGAAATTGTGCTCTCAATACTACGCCACACAATAGTTTTTTTTTTTATTCTTAATGAAATTGTAGGAGCTGACTATGCTAGCAATATTGCCATGTCAATGATAGCAGTTTTTACAAAAATGGTCATGTTGTTAATATAATTATAATTGAAAACCCAAGTGTTCTTCAGTAAATGAGTCATGGTCACAAGTCAAGGCCCTGTGTTGAAAAGCAGGCAGATGAAGCAGCAAACGGGTGACGAGGAGAAGAGGGGAGGCAGGATGCTGAGGAAGGTGTTGCAGAAAGCTTGGAGGAAGAGGGAAGGAAGGGAGGATGGGAGGGAGGGTTGAAAAACAGGGAGGGGGTATTGCTAATGATTTCACCTCCAGCTGTGGGACTGGGTTGGAGTGAGGGAAGGAAAAGGAGGGAGGAACAGTGGCAGAGGAAACAAAATGGGCTTTGAAATCTTGTTGATGGAAAGAAAATAAGTGGGGGTGGGGAGAAGTGTTTGAGTGGAAGCAAATATTAATGAATCTGTAAAGAAGTAAATGACCATATTTGCTCCGTCTTCACATTCACGGTGCAATTTTTCTAAATGTGAGCAAAAAGAGACCCCGGGCTCACTTTCTCCTGCGAGTGTTTGCATGCACTCCGAGGGCCTGCTCTTTATTTTGGTTCTCAGCACTGACAGCGAAGCCACAACAGCTGCTGGCCACAGTTACTGCGAGTGTGTACATGTACATGCACATCCCAAATGTGGACATGGCGCACTAGAACACGGCAGGGTGTGTCTGTACTCAGGATGGTGTGTGTGTATGCTGAATGTGGACCCAGTCAAAGGAATGGGGTGTGTGTGTGTGTGGTCTCCTCACTGAGCACTGCAGAATGTGCTGTAATAGAGCACAATGTTTCTGGGCAGTACCCTGAGTCACTGTGTGTCTGTTTGTTGTTTGTGTGTGTGTTTTGAGCCTGGAAGAGTCAGCATGTTTTTTTTCTTTATTTTTCTAGCATTAGTGAAAATGTGGTTGGACGTGTGTGTATATGTTCACAACAAGCACTGTGTTAGAACATAAGGCATATTGCTTGAGGACACACACACACACACACACACACTCCTTTGTCTGACACCGCCCCCCCTCCCACTAACGCGGGTAGACAAGCCCATCAAACTTTCATACTAATGGCCGATAGTCTGCATGTGTTAGGACAGAGTGTGTGTTTGTTTCTGTGTGTCCCGTCGAATAACTTTTTGTCTTGGGGTCTCGGACAGGACAGGACAGGACATACGGAGGAAAAAGGGGGAGGGAGGAAGAGGGGTTCATCTTATCTGATGGAAGGAAAGGGGGGGGGATGGGAGGAGGAGGGTTGTGTGTGTGTGTGTGTGTGTGTGTGAGAGGAGGGAATATGTCAGGCTCGGGAGGGAGGAGGCTGGCTTAGATATGAAAATGGGCACAGTAGATGTCCCAAGGGTGTTGGTGTCGGGGCTGGTGCAGAGGTTGTGGGGTGTAGGGTCGTAGGAGAAGGGGGGTGGGTGTTGTCTAGAGGAACGGAGAGGTTTGGGGGTGGGGGCATGTCGCTGGTACCCTCCAGCCTGTGTAGAAATGGGCATAGATAGAGTGTGCCTGCCATTCATTTAACTTTTGATCAGAACATGCATTATAGATCTATTTATTATACTCGTATCTGAATATTTGTTTCATTTACCTAAATATGTATGCAAAATCCATTCCGGTTTCAATACATAGGGATGATGATTAGGATCTCCTGTTCACTGTGCCATATTAAAGGCAAATGATGGCGTGCAGGCAGAGTGTGTATTTGTGTAATGTACACACAGGCAACAATTATTTATGCCAACTTGCACAAATTACCTATTTTTACCTAAAAAGTTTTGACTACTTCTCAATTTGTATTCAAGTTTAAGAAGTATAGGGCTCAGGTGAGTTGCCTTTTTGTTTCCAAAAAATATTTATTACAAGAAATTGGCCAAAAAAATCTGGACTCAAAACAAAACCCTTTTTTTTTATTTATTTTTTTAATAATGCTCACTTTGACTTTGTAGTATTACTGTCCATCAGTAGCAATATCAAGGTCATTTTATAGAAAGACGTGTATTTAAAAATAGATTTAGGAAGTTATCATTCTATTCCACATCATAAAACCGATTCATACATCAAATTACCCCCCCCTCCCCACCCAAATAAATACTTTTCGAAACATATTCCTAACAGTTTAAGGGCAGTTTAAACATTAAACTCAATATAGGGGTGTTTGACTCTCATTGTGACCGAAAATATGTTCCATTATTCAGGCTCTGGTGGCGCCACCAAGCTTCCCCCCTCTTTCATCCCTTTTTCTTCCATTGTCCGTCCTTCTTTCCTGGCCTCTCATCATGCAGTCATCTGGTCAGGTCTTAATGAAGTCATTGTTATTGTTTGTCTTTCCCATCAGCTGCTCAAGCTCAGGTCACATCCAGTGCTAGTGAGCGATACAGCCGTTAGTGTACAGTGTTGTTTTGCCAACAGTCCAAAAACATTTTGTTTAGCAGCATCTGCCTCTTCAGAAGCTTCACAAGGTATTGTTCTTTATGGGCTGTAGAACTCAAACAGAGGCAGCTGCCCATGTGTAAATGTGAATTTGCGCATGTCTGCGGGCGTTTCCATAACTGTGTATTTCTACAGCCCGCTCTCCAGCTGTTTCCTGTTAGCTATCACTGTGTGTGTGTGTGTGGAATGACTAACAACTGACACATGAGCAAACGTGTGTGTTCTTGCCTCACAGAGTGCCAAGTGTGAGTCACTGCTGCGAAGAAAAGTGACTCACAGATGAGTTGGTGGGAATGAAGCAGAGTTTATGATAACTCTTTAGTCAGTCTAAACCTGGGTGACTACATGTTCAGCTATCTCACTTTTTGAGTCCGTGTGTCACTGCCTTTTTTTGTTTTGTCTCCAAGAAAAAGTATTTGCTGAGGGAGTGTTCTGTATGACTCGCACATGGGCCTGTGAGTGCTTGTCTTGCATTTCCTCACTCCAAGAGGAAGTGACTTTGTACCCTGAAGGCCTCAGAGTGCTGCTGGTGTAATATGCTCTCTTTCACACAGACGCTCACTGTGGACCATACAGGAAATGCCATGAGTCACAAAGGAACTTAATGTCCATGCAGCAGTATGGATTGTAGGCCTGCGCAGCATAGTGAAATTGATTAGATTCGAGTGCTATGGGTCACTAACCACAACACTCATCCCACTTTCTTTCCTCCTCCCTCCTTCTTCAGAGCGAGGAAAGCCCCAGTCCAAAGCGCCAGAGGCTGTCCAGTCAGTCTGTCCTGGAACAGCTAACCTCAGCCGTTCCCCCACCAACCACCCCATCTCCCCCTATCCGCCCCTGGGAGTCAGGACCCCCAAGTCGGAGACAGCCTCACCCCCACGCGCACTACCACCAAGAGAGATGCCTCACCCCCGCTCGGCTCAGACGCAGGTAAGTCCTCTTGTTGACGTACGGTTCCACTCCCAAGTTACGCCCACTTCCAATAAAGTTCAAATGTGTACGCACTTCACTTATGGTGTTTTATCTGGTACAAGACATAAGCAGTAAATGCAATAGCTGAGCAATTCTATGTCGAAACTGTTGATATAAATGTATGTATTAATGTCTACCAGTTGCAAGCGGAAAAAAAATACAAAAAGAAAATATAGACAGAAAACCACAAACTAAACATACCATTGTGTCTTTAAGACGCTAATAAAACCAACTACTCTTCTGTGTCAAACATCTGTCGCTGAATCTCTTCGATCTTTCTTTTAACGGAGATGAAAAGGCCAGACGCTGGATCATGCTCCAGAGCCCCGCTCCGCCATCTTGATGTATAGTGTTCAACCTAACACGTACAACGCTGTATGTCTAGGATATGTCAAGGACTTTAACTGAGCTTCCCAATGTAACACTGTCACTCTCTCTCTTCCCCCCCCCCCCCCCCCCCCCCCTAGCCCGCCAGCTAGGCGTCAGCGCGGCCGTCTCTCCAGACCCCCCCGTCACCTGCCTCCCCACCACCACTCCACCCAAGGCCCCGCCCCTCGCCTGTCGCCATCCGAGCACCAGGATGAGAACTACCACCACCACCCCCCCACACACCAGACGTACACGACACACACGCCTAGCGTCTACAGTCAGCCTCCCACAGCCGGGGGGGGGGCCGTGGGCCTGGAGGAGCCCCGAGCTTTCCACCCTCCCACCCTACCACGACTACTGCACCCTGCTGCCCACCATCATCACCCTTACCACCACCATCAGCAGCAGCAGCAGCATCATCAGCAGCAGCATCATCAGCAGCAGCATCATCAGCAGCACCATCACGCAGCCCAGCAGCAGCAAGGAGCCATGGTCATGGACCTCCATGAACAGGTCAGTCTTAGATGGGATTTATTTAGTTGTGATGCTTTATTTATATAGATAATCTCATTAACACAGGTTTCAATCTCAAAAAGGACCTGGTAAAGACACATCAGCGTTATAGAAAGAGAGGACAATAAACCACACACAGAATAAAACACTTAGTCATTCAAATTGATTAAAAAAAACATTAAAAAGTCATGGTTCAAAAACTATTTAGTAGACCAAACCGTTTAAAGGTGCTCTCGAGACCTTTGAGTAAAAATACAGTTTAAGGTTTATTGCAATTTAAAAAAATATATATATTTTATCGGGTAAAATGAATATGCCCATGAAATAGTTTATCATGGTAGAAAAGTAGAACATATTGACAAATATAACAATTCTCATGTAAGAAAGAGCAGACTCACACCATTTTTATTTATACTTATTTTATTAGTGGGACCTTAGGATTTGTATTTCATTTGAGGATGTTACAAAAAACAAGTTTGTCCTATTTTTAATGCAATGGAAATATCAGTTTAAAAAAAAAAATGAACGTTAAGTTATTCCAGTATGTCTTATCGCCATTTTGGAGTTCAACCATACTTTTGAGACTATCAGCATAATATTTCGAATGGTTATTATTTTAGCCAATATAATCATGAGTATAACCGCTGTAAGAAATCCTGTGTGCGTGTCTGCATATGAACTGGTGTGTTCCCTCCCCAGCTGCAGCAGGCCAGTCTCCCGGTCTCCTACACGGTGAACCCCGTCCCCCCGCACAGTCTGGCAGCGCCCCTGTGTAGCGGCCAGCACCTGCCCCCTACCTGCTCCTCTCAACAAGTCCCCGCCTGCAGCGTGGTCTTCAGCACTGGACAACACTACCACCCGGTGAGAGGAACAGTCTGTCGGAGTGTGTGGGCTTGTTTGTTCCTAAGAAGGGACACTCTGTGCTTTGCAGTCTCTTACACTTTAACCACGGAAAAAACAAAATGCTCAAAAGCAAAGTGGGTTAAAAGTAAAAAGACCTGCAGAATATTTCCTGTTTAAAGTGGCTTGTTAATATTCCAGGTCTTGGCTGCCACCTTATGGTGACATATGGAATTACACCCACATTGGAAAACATGCATTGAATGTTTCTCTTATGTCTTTTTCTTCTTACCTTTGTTTCTCAGATGCTACAGGCGTGTTCAATGCAACATTTGCCGATGCCCTATGCCTTCCCCTCGCTGCTGTCCGGTGACCCCCAGTTCCTGCTTCCCCACCCCCCCCCACCTCGCTCACCACCCGCCCCACCTCCCCACACCCGCACAGTTCCTGCCTTTCCAGACGCAGCAGCCACGATCGGTACGTAAATGATGGGTTTTTATAATAGTTTACTTTCATTAATTTTCGCAGTGTTCTGTGCTCAAACAAGGCAATATGAGGGCTTTGGCATGCATACAGGAAGCCATTATGCAGTTACTGTAATACCCATAAATGATAGTATCATATTTTTAAATCTGCTGTACTGATTATGTTTGAATACCCTACAAAACTACTCGCAAACCAAGGTTAAAATATTTGTATATAATAATTAGGTTTTATTTAATTGTAGTTTTAGATCTCGTTTTTTATTTATAAAGTTTAACAGTAGTTTAAGATTGTTTTTGTGAGAGCCAGGTATTATGTCTCAAAAGTATTTATCTATATAAAATGGCTGTAATGAATAAAACTTCTGAATTGGGAGTCCTCCTTTTTTACCACAGAAGAAGACGTTAACCCCAGTTGATTAGGCTGACCTGAATTTCTTTGTTAAATGACATTTGATCTAATCCGATTATTAAATCATGATTCTGTTATTTAAATCTTCAACACTAGGCTGCATGTGAAAAACAAAAAAGGGATAAATTGGGGAAACTATTGTTGAACAGCGCCATCTCCTGGACTGTCAGGAGAGTTGATGGATGTTCATGCGGTCTACTTAATAAGCCCTTTTTCTACTTCTTTCAAAAATAGTCAAAAAACTATTCGAATCAATTTATGTACATTTTATAACTCATTGAAGTTCTTCTATCAGATAATATAGTATTCATATTTTATTATTTCAGTTAGTTTGGCCCTGTTTTTGTTCCGTTTGTCACCATTAACACTGTGCTGTGTTGTTCCTCAGCCCTTACAGAGGATTGAAAACGAGGTTGAGCTTCTGGGAGAGCAGCTTTCAGTGGGCGGGGGCTTCAGCTACGCACACCATCACCACCACCACCATCACCACCAGCCCCCTCCCACCCTGCCCCCCTCCACACCGCTCCAGTTCCTCTCGCACCACGACCCCCTGTCGCAGGAGCTCTTCACAGTGGTGAGTGCATTAATAACCAGGACCTCATTAGCCTTTGGGTACCTTGGAAATGTTTGATAGTTGATGAAAATAAATATAATTGATTGTCTTTATCCCACCTTTCACAGCCCTATCCACATTTTATGCCTCGTCGATTCACCAGCCGGCGTTACCGCTCCCAGCAGGCGGTGCCCCCGTCCCCCTACCACCCCAGCTTCCTGCCATACTTCCTGTAAGTCTTAACATTTCCTCCTGTTACTGTTAGAACTACAAAGGGGCATTTTCAGTACCCCTAAGATGCGTTACAAATGAAATGTTCCTAATTTTTGTGTCACCGTCTTCAACCACATCCAGGTCCATGCTCCCTGTGCCCCCCACTATAGCCCCCACTATCAATCTGGAGCTGGACGTAGACGACGGAGAGGTGGAGAACTATGAGGTAAGACTTCAATCTCAATCTTTATTTATTGATATAGCACAACCTCAGTGGACCAAAGTGCTGTACAGGGAACAAATACAATATAGAATAACACAATGGGAGTAAAATAATAAAACAATCATTAAAAACAAGATAAAAAGCACAATAACTAGAAACGTATAAAAACATGTCAAAAGGTCATGTTCAACTTCTATTAAACTTCCACATGTTTAGCCAATTATCATTTGACTGTTGCAAACGTTGTCCTCTAAACGTTGTGTTTCTGTGTGAAAACTCCAGGCCCTGCTGAACCTGGCGGAGCGTCTCGGGGAGGCAAAGCCCCGCGGTCTGACCAAAGCAGATATTGAACAGCTTCCATCGTACCGCTTCAACTCCAACAACCATCAGTCTGAGCAAACAATGTGAGTGCCTTCCTCCTTTCATCTGCATTGTAAGAACTGTGTTTGTTGTTGTTTATAAGTTTAGGGAGGTATGAAAGACGTTTTTCTAAATAGTTCCAACCTTGCTTTGTCTTCCAGGTGTGTGGTGTGCATGTGTGACTTTGAGTCTCGCCAGCTCCTCAGGGTCCTGCCCTGCAATCACGAGTTCCACGCCAAGTGTGTAGACAAGTGGCTTAAGGTGAGTAAAGACATTTAGGTGTTTGGATATCATTCCATTTATCAGCGTTTTTCCACTGCACCCTTAAAGCCTAGTTACTCCAGAAAGTGGTCCGACGAATTCAGTTGGAAATTCCTTGACACGGTTCATTCAAGATGTATTTGGACCATCAACTTCTGTCTCACACTGTCTGCAAACCATACTTGTATTCAAATATATATACAAAATATATAAGACAGGGATTGTTTTGGATTGTTTGTACGTTATTGGAATGTTGGAAACTATTGGTCAATGGTGCAAATCTAGTTGTCAAAGTTCCCCATTTTCTTTTTTGCATAAAGGTTTTGCTGTTTTTCAATAAAGGTGTGAGCAGGCTTTTAAATCTGCTGACCGCTTCCTCTGAATTTGACAGCATCTGTTATATATTCATTTTGTAGGTATATTAACCCTCATCTCCTTTTCTTTCTGGTCCCCTCCAGGCTAACCGAACATGTCCTATCTGTCGAGCCGATGCCTCTGAGGTCCAGAGGGATTCTGAGTGACCTCATGTCGACACTCACAATCCCACACTCCCTTTTGGATGCACCAACCAATCAGTGAACTCTCATACACTTCCCCTCACACATTCTGCCACACACCTGGGGACCAGTGCTCCTTAGTCCTTCTCTCGTTATCACCAAAAACACTGCACAGTTATCCTGGGATCAGCAAACCTTCTACTGGCTCACTTTACCGCTGGACTTCCTTGGCCTTCTGTTTTTGGACTCTTACACCCTTACTCTGCCTTCTGCTCATGGTCACCCCTTTCTATGAATGGCCTTTGAAACTCACAAACAGTGGCATGGTCACGTGGACATATATATATATATATGTGTATTTTTGTAATACTCAATATGAGCGTGAAAAGACAGAAAAAAACACTCTTTTTAAGGGAGTTGTTCTAACAAAACATTAAGGGAGAATTGGCAGTCCAAAGAGTATGGCAATTTCATCTGGTTATAATTGAGCATTCACATTTCTACTAGGGGTATTATAAAGACAGTTGAACAGCATCATTGTATCTTTAATGTCTGTATGTGCATTCCTCAGTGTGAAAGTATTCCGTTTGGGGTTAAACAAAGAAATTGCACACTGACAAAGCTCTCTCGCTCTGTGTGGAAGTGTGTTATTCTTCCTTTAATATTTATACAGTTCATCGACTTCCTAAATCCTGTAACTTCAGACCGGTTTATGGCTGAGATTCACAAATCACACCTAAGGAAAACCTCCAGGAAGTCAACAATGCTTTTTTGTTCCGTTTTGTTACCCTCATTATCATGAACCCCCTCTTCAACTCAAACCCAATCACATGATGTCGGCACATTGTCCTGTCCCAAATAAGTAACAGCTGGTGGCTTTGGTAAGCACACTATGCTGACCTGAAGGAAACGGATCCAACATATCCACCATGTATGGAAGTCCTAAAAGACCATGGTCTTTTAGGACTTCCATACATGGTGGATATGTTGGATCCGTCCACATTTTTCATTACCCAAATTTCCCCATGGTAACAATTTAATTCCACTTTTTTCTCTCAAAAAATGTAATTATCTAAAAAAACAACACGTGTTGTTTTCCTGAGATAACGCCTATTATGTCAATTCATGAGAAAATGTTTTCTTGTGATCTTAAATTAACTATTTTATTATCTCGAAAACATTTTATCTTTTTAAAAATCATTCAGGAAAACAACATTGTTATGTAGAGATAATGACATAAATAACTTGAGAAATCTGATCAATTGTCACTGGAAAACCGGGTAAATGGAATGTTTGAAGTATGGCGCTTGAGGGCTTCCGTAGATTTCCCTCAAAGCAGTTTCCTACAGAGCTGAATGCATAACCTTCATCAATTACAGATTTCCCCAAGACATCATACATGCTGAGTTTACTAGCTTTCTTACGGGACTGAGGCCTTTGAGAACATGTTTCTATATCCGTCTGGGTACTCAAGCAGCTTTCTGTGAGTGTTGGTAGATATTAATGCAATGTTTGAAGAGACTTATAAGGTCATAGCTTAATCTACTGTTTCACCAGACGGTGGTTGTGACACTTTAGCACTTTAATATGTAAGACCTACACGCTTTCTTCATTGTAAAGAAACCACTGATCAGTTTTTCCGCAGCCCATGTGTGTTTGAGAAGAATTTGAATGCATTCTGAACATTATTCTCTCGCATCCACAGCAACAATATGTCATACTGTAAGCCGAGGCAAGTTAAAACATATTCACCTCACGCACAGAGAAGGATTTCTAATGTAACCGTTTCTATCCCATCACAACCGGCGTTTTCTTTCAAGATGGCAGCCTTACATATTTACATTCACACTCTTTCAATGGAGATGCCTTTTCTCCTTTTGCATCTCGTCTCTATCCAATGTGTCCACATCAGACCAATACATCCGTTCAGACCCCAGTTTAGTTTTTTAAATCAACATTCTCAGTGGAGAACCAGAGAGAAGCAGTTGTTTGTGTATAAAGTCATGTTATATCCGAGGTAATGGAGAGAAATTACATTTGATGTCCGTCTTCTTTTTTTTCTTCTTTTGGGTAAAAGGCCATATTTATGACTGTGCATCCTGGGATTGTTTTGTGTTGGACAGTTTTTTTTTTTGTTATGTTGCTTGGTACAATAGCAATTACCTCAGTCCCACTATTTATGTATTTCCTGAAAATGGCGCAGGCAGTAGGATTAGTGCTCATCAATACATGTTGCTAATATTTTCCATGCAAGCTGTTGGGTTGTTTGAATATTTTTACTTTTAAACTTTATGAAGCTCTATCAAAATGGTGTCATAGTAGTTTTCATTCTGTATTATATTTGTAACCAAATGATTTGAAGGCCTGTTATGATGATAATGACATTTTTAACAAACATTTGTACATTTTGTATGAGAGTTATTACTAGTAATACTTTATTAAGTAGTGCAATGATTTTTTTTTAATCCCTTATCCCATCTTTTGGATTTCAAAAGCTGGTTCAATAATAAATGTATAACTTCTTCTATAACGTTGTTTTCCAGTTCTTTCCTCAACTCCTTATTTTCTTTTTTTAAATGTAATAACTGTCCACTTGGTGGCAGTGTTGTTTTATTAACCACAAGGCTAACACGGGAACGTTTTGAGGCACTTTGCATGCTAGGAAAGTTCCTAAATGTTGCACAGACATCAGAACTTGCGGAAATTTGATTATTTGTAAGGAATATTTTAGCTTTTTATGCTGTGTCTGCATTTGTGCAACATATTTTACAAAGAGTGATTTCAGTAGATGCCTAATTCAGTTTATGAGACAAGCCAAACAATCGTTATCATTACCTGTGTCTGAGCTGTGGCTTTGAATTAGCAGTGGCGAGCCGTGACTTTTATACCTAGCTTCACCCGTTGTTATAACACACATGCATACACTTCACAGCGGGCGGAACTTGTCATAAAGTCCGCGAAAATAAAGCCCCCCCATTTAGAGGGAAGATATGATTGGTCAATTTTACTGTCATTTGACATTACTCTCTCGTTGAGTTACACTAGCTGGCCCTCTGGTGGTCCAGCTATAAATTCACAATCACCTTTGGAAGTTTAGCTTCTTTCTGAGAGCTCAATTCTTAAGCCCAGGCAGATCCATGGAGACCATTGATGTCTGGATAACTTGTCAGGAACTTCCCTAAAATAAAATCGAAAGTTGGGATGATTCAGTCAGAAATGGCCAAAAGTAGCCAATATTTCCAAAAAAGACGTTAAACTATAAAATCAGACCAGTCTATTGCTGCCAAAGTTGTCCCTGCTAGTTTAACCAACTAAAATAAACACACCATTAGAGTGAGTTAAATGTCAGTCTTGTTCACCCTGCAATTGACAGCAGCTCCAGTAGAGAGCAGTGGTGGGCTTCCCAAGAAGGGCCATATCTATACAAAACATGTCTCTGAAGTGTTTTGCTCAAAATACCAAACAGATCACCCATTGTAGCCATGCCTCATACCCCTATATTCCAGCCCTGTTCCAAAAGTGCTGATTCTGGGTCTGTAGCTTTAAATGTAACTCATCAAAAAGTGCATTTTGTGTAAAAGGTGACCTTTAAGACACTTTTATGAATAGTCTATGTTTAGAACTACCTTTGGTCTGTAGTCATGGTTATTCAAAGCAGAAAATCCCGTAATTGTATTTACCATTACTTGAATTAATACATTGTTTATTATAATACTTGCAATTCACAGCAGAGAAATGCACGGTATATTTCATGAAGCTCAAATAATTTCAGAATAAAAGCTCCTAAACAAGTAGCTGTTCAGCATCTGTTGTCCATCTGCACAGACAGCAGGTTTTACTCCTTTGTTTATGACTCCACTCCCCCCTCACTCTTTTTCCTTATTCATACAAACTTGAGCTGACATCCAGACACAGAGTTCAGAGGGACAACGTGAGGAAGATTCTGTTACTGGAAAACTGTTTTAATCTCTCCTGTTTTGGAAATGGTAGTCCTCTTTTGGCTGCAGGAAATGTGGGATAGAAATCAAGAACAAGTTGAAAATGGGCTCAGTGTGTGTTGTGTTTTGTGGTATTCTAAGATACCACAAAACACTGTTAACGAAGAAAGCCAGATCACAGTGCATACAGGGGGCACAGCTGTTTGTCCTCAAGCTGATAAATTAAATCTGTGCTGACATCAAAAAATGTCAAAATGCCTGCCTCTGCTAAAATGTGACATTCTGTGTGCATCACATAAGCATCCACAATGGTGTATATATACAGTTTATATCCCATAACGCTCTTTTCAAGCCCTGGATCAATACGTGTCTGAATGTTATACCATCTATAGGCTGTGGTGGGAAGTAACTATGAACATTCACTTAAGTACTGTACTTAAGTAACATGTTGAGGTACCTGTACTTTATTTGAGTATCTCATTGTATGCTACTTTGTACTTCTACTCTACTACAATTCAGAGGTAAATCCTGTGCTTTTACACCACTACATTTATTTAATACCTTTAGTTACTTTGCAGATTTGGATTTATGATGTGAAATATCAACACTTAAATCAGATTTTAGTTCCACCTGGAGTAAATTCACAAGCTACCCTGCAGTATACAAAGCCATTAAAGGTAGATGCGCCTTTACCAGCTTTGATAACACTTTAATGATCAATAATTATAATCAAAACATAACATATATATTATTCTGTCAACGGCCAAAACTGAATAATGAATACTTCTACTTTTGGTATTTTAAGTATATTGTGTTGCTAAAACTTTTGTACTTTTACCTGGGTAACATTTTGTATGCAGGACTTTTACTTGTAACAGAGTATTCCATAACCTTGGTACTTCTATTTTACTAAGGTATAAGATTTGAGTACTTTTTCCACCCCTGGTCTAAAGGCGTGGAGAAAAGTCTGTTTCAATTTAAACCAAATTAGGATTCCCAAAGAGACCACTAGATGGCGTGTTGGCTGTAATAACTTGCTCCTGACGTGGCAGCTGCTGCTGATTATAAGGCTATACTGTATTATGTGATGTGAAGCCACTGGAGCAGTCCACTTATAGCTCTGGTTTCTGACTGTAAAGCAAAAGAGAAGGGCACCATTGAGCATCTAAAACTGAATGATAGACTATTACTACCATTGAATTACATATTCAGTACTTTAATTTCAGCAAATTCGGATTAGATCTAATGAAAACATTATTAAAGGTCACCTATTGTGCAAAATCCACTTTTCCATGTCTCCTCTACATCAACATGTGTCCCCTCTGTGTAAAGAGATTCTGAAAGTTTCAGGAAAAAAGATTCTCTCACTTTTTGTCCTGATCCATTTATATAAAAACCTGTCTGAAAATGAGCTGATCAGATTTTGGCCACTTTATGATGTCATAACGATTTGTTGGCTTGTGTAACCATTAGCTAATGTTACCAAGGTTTTTCACGCCGGGAAAGTTGACGATCACGTGACACGGACAATGGCCATTAGAAATCTAAAGGAAAAAATAATGTAGCAATGTCACAATCTGAGAGGATGTTTTGTTCAAATCAAATCAGGTTTTATTTATAAAGCACATTTTAAAAAGATTTTTGGTCGAGCCAAAGTGCTGTACATGCAAATAATAAATAACACATTTCTACAATCGCAAACGGAAGACAATAAATTACAACAGCAAATATAAAAATCAAACACACACACAGGGAAATGTCATGAGTCGTGCTCCGCTCTGACTAGAAGGCCAGGGAGAAGAAGTGAGTTTTTAGTGTTGATTTAAAAACCCCTAGGGTCTGGGCCGACCTCACATGGAGGGGCAGAGTGTTCCAGAGCCTAGGGCCAGCTGCTGGCTCTATGCCCTCAGGTTTTGAGCCTGGTCTTGGGGACTACCAGAAGCAGCTGGTCAGCCAACCGTAAAGCTCTGGCTGGGGTGTAGCGATGGAGGAGTTCAGCTATATAGGCCGGAGCCAGCCCATTTAGTGCTTTAAAAACAAATAAAAGGAGTTTAAAATCAATTCGGAACCTAATTGGAAGCCAGTGCAATGAAGCCAGAATTGGGGTGATGTGGTCACGCTTTTTGTGGCCAGTGAGAAGACGTGCAGCTGCGTTCTGCACTAGCTGCAGGCGTCTAATTGACGACTGGTCCATACCCACATATAGAGCGTTGCAATAATCCAACCTTGTGGTTACAAAGGCGTTAATAACCCTTTCGAGGTCTTTAAAAGATAAAAACGACTTGGTCTTGGCCAATAGTCGTATTTAAAAAAAAGCAGGTTTTGAATACGCTGCTGACCTGCTTATCAAATTTAAAAGCGCTATTGAAGGTCACTCCAAGGTTCATGAAAGAGGGGAGGATGTTTTTATTGAGGGAGCCCAGAATATCAACCGGAGAGGTTGGGGTCCAAAAAAGATGACCTCGGTCTTGCTCTCGTTGAGGTTGAGGAAATGTTGGCTCAGCCAGGATTTGATCTCTGCTAAGCAGTCCATCAATAGCTGTAATGAGTTGACATTAGAATTGAGAGGCAGATATATCTGTACATCATCGGCGTAACAATGGAAGGGGATGTTGTGTTTTGTGAGAATTGAACCTAGGGGCAGTATGTACAGTAGAAAAAGGATGGGGCCCAGAATCGAGCCTTGGGGAACCCCACAGGTAAGAGGGGCTTTAGCAGAGGAGAAGGTACCTAGCTGCACTGAGAAGCTGCGGTCTGTCAGGTAGGACCTGAACCATGCAAGGGCAGAGCCAGTGATGCCTGCGGACTGTTCGAGCCGCGACAACAGGATGCTATGGTCCACAGTGTCAAAGGCAGCAGTCAGGTCTAACAGCACCAGGACAGCTGGGCTACCTGAGTCGGCGGCTAGGAGCAGATCATTAAAAACTCTTAAAAGGGCTGTTTCAGTGCTGTGCATGGGTTTGAAGCCAGACTGAAACTTTTCATGAATGCCATCCGTGGTTAAAAAAGACTGCAGCTGGGCATAGACTACTCGCTCCAGGACTTTAGATACAAATGGTAGCTGGGAGATGGGCCTAAAATGTGCGAGAATGGAGGGGTCGAGATTTTTCTTTTTAAGTAGTGGCTGCACCACGGCATGTTTGAAGGCAGCTGGGACACATCCTGAGCTAAGAGAGGTGTTTATAAGTAATAAAATACTTGCTCCAACTGAATCGAAAACATCTCTGAGAAGGCGAGAGGGAATGCTGTCTGAGGTGCAGTTTGTCGGCCGCAGGTGCTTGACTACATCCGAGAGAGAAGAGAGGGATACAGGCTCAAAGTGGTCGAGGACAGCAGGGCACAGAAAAGGAGCAGGATCTGGGGTAGCACTAGTGTGGGCTAGCCTAAGTGCAGATACTTTTTCAATAAAAAATGTAAGAAACTTATCACAGAGAGTAGTCGATGGGACAATTGAAGAAACATCACAGGGATTAATGATAGAGTTGAGGACATTAAAAAGAACCTGAGGTTTATGGCTGTTTTTGGAGATTAACAGGGAAATGTGCTCTGTTTTGGCTGCTTTGACTGCCGTCTGGTAGTCGGAAAG